TTTAATAGCAAAAATAGGGACTGTCCGGATTTGCCCCGGCTTCGGGTTTAAATCCGGACGGGGTTTCAGAGGCTTGTGCAGGTGAACTGGCGCAAAGAAAATTTCCTCTCCAGATGGGAAATATGTATCTTGGCGCCTAGTTTCTAGAATCCGCTGGAATTTTTCATATCCCTACCGGTTTTAGAAATATTGAGGAAAAACGGTAAAATTTGTCCGGAATATGACACTTTGACGGTACGTTTTATCAAACAAATCCAATTCTTTATAAGTGTTACGAGTCCCAGGAGTTAATTTACTGGAAATATCAGAGAATCTTCTTGTCGTGTCATAGAAGGAAGCATAAGTGCACCTAATAAACTATTCGTGTATTTATAAGCAAATTGGCACTCTTTTATTCATTTTCATCAAATCTCTCTTTTGCGTCTTATTTAGAACAATCACTGTCGCTGAAAGTTCTCTAATATATAATACCATAAAATGTAATTCGCTCGTCCCTAACTCAAAGCACGCACGGCGCAGCGCCTCTAGAGAAACCAAGCATCTTTGCGCGACGCTCGAGAAACCAAGTATCGTTGCGCGACTCTGGTGAAACCACGTATCTCCATTTTAGGGTGATTTCTGAAACCTATACCATTCGGTTGAGAAAACTTCCCTCTATTCAAATATATAGTTCCTAAAATATCGTCAAAAAATGCGTTACGTGGTTTCACTAGAGTCGCGCATCGATACTTGGTTTCCCGAGCGTCGCGCAAAGATACTTGGTTTCTCTAGAGGCGCTGCCCCGTGCGTGCTTTGAGTTAGGGACGAGCGAATTTTAATGCTCTCACCATATTATTTGAGTATCAGTCAGCATAATACAACTCTAGACATTGCTAGCGGATTTAAGAAAAGTTTATGTCATGATCTGATTTCGATGGGCCTATCCTAACTGAGTTTGCGATATTGGCACTAATATTGTTGAACCCTTATTTGCAAGTCCATGGCTATAGTGATATTAAGTTCTGTGTCTAGTCTAATAAGCATTTTGCCACGTCATATTGAGAGATTAGGTGACAGTAAACACTAATCTATTTGAAATTTGAATACTTTTTTTTTTCAGAAGTTTCAAAATTACACGTTCGTAGTACCATATTTGGATTCCTCTTTACAAATGTAATAAAAAATGTCTTATGCTCAGAGCCGATCAGAGTCGAAGTGGCAAAATTAATAGACTCCAAAGGGGTAAAAGTATGCAAAAAACGATCAAATTGTCAATTTTGGGAGGAATAACTCTACCTTTTCGATTCCGATCATCTTCGCGCATAAAACATTTTCGTTTACTTTTGTCTACAGGAACCGGAAGCAACAGTTACCTTTTCACATTTCTCCCGTACCACAACCCCCCCGCCCCCGCCTCCAAC